TGTAAGTGATGAATCCCTAAGGCTACTCCTGAAACCATTATTGTACTATATGTTAACTAACTTGGATCTGAATTCAAAAGAAAAAAGAAAAAGAAACTACTCCGAAACAATAAATAAACAAGAAGAACTGAACTTCCAAGAACAATGAAAGAAGGGCAGGAGGCATAAGACATATAAGGGAAGCCAATGGTTTGCTTGAGGCTTGCAAATGACATCTGAAATTAACCACACGGGAAACATAGTAGAGCCTCCAGAACCTCCTGGTAGGAAGACAGAAGCAGCCTCCCAACGCATGAAAGACCCTCCTGAGCCTTCAGAGGAAGGGGCTGTGCACATCCCTGGGTGTTTCCTACAGCATCTGGTAGGTAACAGTGGTGCTGGCCGGCCACGCTGAACTCTGCCCAGTCAGATGCTAACCAATGAGGAGAGTTTTCTGCTGCACTTTCAAAAAGACTCAATGCTTCTACAATTAAATCCTGAGACATCTCAGGATTTCTGAGCAACAGAACTTTCAAGCTAAAAACCCTTCAAAAAGAGGGTGGACATGGCTGCAAAACCCTGACAGAGAGCGGGGATTCTGCCACTAATCAGCGGAGTTCTTGGACTCCGGCGAGTCATTTAGGCATGCCACTTTTTAAATATACCACTAAGTACACAAACCAGAGGCAGGTTAGTGCTAATGGCATCAGAAGGACGCAGAGGAAATGCAGTGACTCCTGGGCTGGGTCACTCCACCTCCTTTGCATTTGGACAAGTTGACAATTATCAGTTGGGAGATCCGCGTTACAGACCAATCTCCATTGTAGTTTTTCTATTTAAAATTTAATAGGGGCGCCTGGGTGGCACAGTCAGTTAAGCGTCCGACTTCAGCCAGGTCACGATCTCACGGTCCGTGAGTTCGAGCCCCGCGTCAGGCTCTGGGCTGATGGCTTGGAGCCTGGAGCCTGTTTCCGATTCTGTGTCTCCCTCTCTCTCTGCCCCTCCCCCGTTCATGCTCTGTCTCTCTCTGTCCCAAAAATAAATAAACGTTGAAAAAAAAAATTAAAATTTAATAGCAGAGAAGTTCTAAACCAGGATTTTTTCCCCCTAAGAAAATATATTATTCTGACACTGAAGGACCAGTGGGGTTGCTTGATCCTCCAAAGTAAAAAGTGAAAAGATTGGTAAGTTCCTTTAAGGGATTTCACATGTCATTGTTTTGTCCTCCCAAGAGAGATTTGGGGTTACGATGATGTCTGCTTCAGCATCACCTGGATTAAGTCTCTATTGGGCAAGAAATACATCAGCACTTACGTCATTTTCAAGAGAGTGCATGAAAAAAAAATGAAGACAGCCTAAAAAAAAAATTATACGAGCAGGAAATCTCTGAAGCAGAGTCCACTCTCTCTGTGGCTCTCAACTTCCCTGGGAACCTCCCAGAAATTACTTAAAAGCCTGAGAGAACACTTACCATGTAGAGACCATGGTAAAGATTAAATTCTCACAGGAAGTTCACTTATGAAGTCTGAGAATTCCACACTGGGTTACCTTTGACCCCACTTGTAATAAGATCTTTAACGATCTCTTTGTGTGCACGTGCCCCCAAAATAGGAAAATCAGGAAAAGAGCAGAAACCAAAGAAATATATAAAGCAAGGTTTAAAAGTAAAGCTCAAAAATTGAGAAGAGCAAAGTTCCTTTGAAACACAGAAAATAAAATGTGAAAAGGACCTCTGAAACTATCAAATGCAGCCTCCATTTAATGGAAGGAAACAGAGGTCCAGAAAAGTAAATGGTCCCACAATTGCTCTAGCCATGAGATTTGTGCCTCCAACAGCCACGGTTTCACAGCTGAGCCAGTGTCCTCAAGCCTTCCTCTCTTGATGAACAAGTCAATATATGCCAAACAGAGCTCTGAATTATCCCCTTAAAGCACTCCCCTCTGCTTCCTGGAATCAGGGTTCACATGAAATTTGAAAGATCATTTAGTTCATTCTCCTTATATTAGCAGAGCTGAGTTTCAGAAATATAACACTCGCTTTTCTTGCCTATTTTAAGATCTGCAGAGAAGAAAAGTCCTCAATTACTCTGATATTGCCAAGATGTATTGCTTCAAAACAATGTTGGAATACCTATAACGAGTAATTCACTATGTCATGTCAAATGGGAAATACATTAATTAATCTGGCACGGATCCTGCTCTCAAGATGCCCAGTGACAAGTAGGCAAGATGAGGCAGGTACTAACATACTTATACTATCAGGCAGACAAGGGCTGGGAAATTACTAGGGAGTAGAGAAGATGATGTCATTATTCCTAGCTAGAGGATGGGTAAAGTGACTTAAAGGCAGCTCTGAGACCGGATTAAGGTACACGAAGAAGCAGGGGCATTTCAGACTGGAAACTACGCAAGGCACTGTAAACGTGCAGTACATATGGAGAAAACAAATACATCAGTTTTGCAAAAGCACACATACAAACTGGAGGGTTTGTAGGACGTAAAACAAGGAAGGTAGGGGCACCTGGGTGGCTCATTGGGTTGAGCATCCGACTTTGGCTCAGGTTATGATCTCATGGTTCATGAGTTCAAGACCCACATCAGGCTCCATACTGATAGCCCAGAGCCCATTTCAGATCCTCTACCCCCCTCTCCCTCTGCCCCTCCCCCATTCTATTTCTCTCTCTCTCTCTCAAAAATAACTAAACATTAAAAAAAAAAGAAAACCACTAACCAGGAAAGTAGATTTAATCCAGAGTGTGTAGGACCTCTGGAGCTAAGAACAGATGCTTTTTTTCTTCAACCTGTAGTTCACGAGGTATTGTGCACCTGTCCATTAATACAAAATTTGGGAGCAACACCTGTGTAATGGGCACCAAGGAAAGGCAGTAGGGATGTAAATTTGAGAAAAAAAAACATGGTATCTACCTTCATGGAGCTTAGTCTTCATTGGGAATAACAGACAAGTAGTCCATGAGTATTGCACACAAGTATGAGAAATGTCATGACAGCATGCACAGGGTCACACAGGAGGGCAGAAGACTAACTAAAAGTCAGACTTAAGGGAATAATAAGAGGTGTCCCAAAGAAATAAACTGCAAAGATAAGTTGCAGTTATGCAAACAGAAGAGGAGATGCTGGACACTCAGGTAGAGATAAAAACATGTTAAAGACACCTGAAGGTGTGAGAAAGAATGAAGCATTCAGAATATAAACTACAGTTGAACCCAAAGCTATGGGAAACCATGAAATTATTATGCTGTCCAAAATTATGTTTCAAGAAAATAAATCTGGCAGCAGCATGTAGGGAAAAAAAATGGAAAGTAGGAAAGACAAAGACTACAAAAACTACAAAGTGATTCACTCCAGAATCTAGAAAAATGGTTCAGGACCCAAACGGGGTTCAGTCCTAGTGGGAATATCATGGAGAGAGAATCCATTCAACTGAGCAAACCAAAAATTGAAGGAACAAAGGAAATGTCAGACACCACACATTTTAGAATGGATCAACCACAACTGAGAACTAGAAAGGAAAGCAGGTATCAGCAGGAAATCTAGCAGTGGGGAAATATGTAAGAGACAGACCAAGAACAGAACCCACAGACAAAGAAAATGAACGTGGAATAAAGGCACATCAAGAAAATAGCAGGAAGAAAGGTTTGCACACTGTGGACAGTGGAATGACAATAAGAAAGGCTTCTGGTGACAAAGATCAATGGTACCCCTTAAAACAGGAGCTCAGGAGAGAAGGGAGAAGACACAAAATCACACAAGACATTGTGAATTACTGGATTCTGCAAGCAGATTACTCTATGGAACTCAAGAAATTTAACAGGGGAGGACCGAAGAGAGGCCGGTAATTTGAGAAGCACCATAGGATTGATTGATTGATTGATTGATTGATTGATTTGGTAGAGGAGACTTAAAAAAGGCTGTAGATTAGAAAAAAAGAATTCAGAAGAGAGAAGGGATTTTTTTCATGTTGTCAGGAGGTTCTTAATTTCCTCCTGCTTTTATTTTAAAGGTGAGAACTTCAATACCATCTTCTAAATGGTGGAGACCTTCCTGTATTGAGGGCCTATTATTAAGTCACACCTCAGTCTTTATAAAAATACCAATCCATTAGTCTTTTCTCATGAGTTTTATTGTCCAAACATTTCATCATCTCCATGGCTTTTCCACTGTGCCCTTCTCCATATTCTATCAAGTCTTCTTTGGGGGAAAAAAAATCCATGAGACGATCCAACGAATTAATAAAGGCTAAGCCTAGATTGAGTTTTTAAAAGGGTAGTTAGTTCTATGATGACCCCTCTACGCCAGCAGTTTGCAAACTCACTCTGTTTTGTATTCAAAGCAAAGGAATCAGTTCTTCTAACTAAATCATCTGCAAGATAAAAGGGGCTGCACTGATTAGGGGCAAAATAGAGCCCCACTTACTGGGTACTCTTCCTCCCCACTCTGTACAAGCTGCTGCTGTCACTCCAAGGAGCCCCAGCGGTCTGAAACCACTGTGTTATGACACATGTTGGTTTATGTGTTATTCACTTTAAGTCACGGTACAGTAGTGCTGCACGCTGACCGTGCTTTGTTAGTTTCTAACATTTCTCATGGAATAGCTATGCAAACAATCTTTCTTCCATAAGAGAAAAAAAAAAAAACATGGCCTTTATCACCACATAACATGTAGATCTTTACTAAAACCTTTTCCTACCTACAAACGTATGCAGAATGCTCACCAAATCATCCCAGACATTAGGTACTCTTTTCTAAAGAGCTTCATGACAGCTACAAACCTAATATAAACACTGTCTAGAAGCCAGGTCACCGAGGAGCACAGAAACAACAGGACACAAATACGTGTTTCTTCAAATAAATGTTTCTACTTTTTCCCTCCAAAGAAACATCAAAATTAAGAAGGTTCCTCCTCTAAATTTCCTAGCAGCACCAAATGCCAGAATGTACAATCTATAAAAAAGGGATAGAAGAGAATCATAAAAAGTGTATTCATTCACTTTAATACCAACCTAATAAATTTGACGGCCAGGCCCAGGTCAGCTATACAGCATGTTCCATTTTTCTTCACCAGGATGTTCTTACTTTTCAGATCTCGGTGGGCGATTGCCGGTTTGCCTTGTGTACTAAAGATTTCAGTATGTAAATGACATAAGCCACTGACAGCAGAATAGGCTAACTTCAGCATTGATTTTGTATCTAGAGTGGTGGACTTCAGATAGTCATAGAGGGAACCGTTTTCATGATAGTCTGTAATTAGGTACAACTGGGTCCAAGACCCTGTCCCTTTGATATCTGCAGCAATGAACCCTAAAAGGAAGAAAGACAAAAAGGTTTGAAGCCAAGTGTTTTCTGAATAGTATCAAGAATAATTTATATTCCCAAATATCATTCCTTGTCACAGAGGTGTCTTTGTTTAGTATTTCGTTCAGCTTTACGGTTATGCCTATGACAGTACTAAATTATGAATACCAACCAGAGGCCATCAAAACAGTAGAGGTAGAGGAACATTAAGCGTTTGTACCTGAAAACATGAGCCCTTTCTAGTCAGTCATTGATATTTACGTTATTGTATTACAGTAAATAGTATACATACGCCACGGTTTACAAAACAGGCCTGGAGTCAGGGCTTACACTCCATATTAGCTTATACTCTTTCCAACTTGGATGATGCAGGTACATTATTTCTAACTTGAGAAAATGTTTTAAAAATCAATTCTCAATATAAACTCTGGATACGCGCGCGCACACACACACACACACACACACACACACCCTGCAGATAAAACTTCTCTAACTTTTCACAACATTTAAACATGTGCTCCTTCAAATCCCTAAGAAACCCTAAGAAATTCTGGTATTACATTTGCATTTCCTGTCCCTGAAGAAAAAATTATTGGAGAGTATTCCATTTCCAGCCCACTATTCATTCACAGAAGTGGCTTAGTCATTCCTCCTGTGAGGTCTCCCAGTAGAAACTTATGACGTTCTTGGGCTCAGGCCAAGAAGAAAATGTCTATATATTTCATCACAGGTCTAGACAGATGAGTTAATAGGCAGATGTTAACAGAAAATAGAGGAAATCTAGGAAACCCTGAATACCGCTGTACCGACTCACCCAAAATGTTTTCATGCCTCATCAACACTGTCTGATATATTTCTGTCTCTCGGAACCAGCTGGCCTCCTCCGTGGTGAAGAACACTTTCACAGCTACCTTTTCGCCACGCCACTTTCCCATCCAAACTTCCCCATAGCGACCTTTTCCAATCTGTTTCACCATCTGAATCTGCTTAGCTATAGTCCTTTGGACCTGTTAAATCCCAAAACACACTGTTAGTGTATTCGCAGCACTACAGATTTGTTTAATCTTTTTTTTTTCCTCCTCCAGAGAAGAAACAATTACTGCATGCAAAATATATTTAGCCAGTAGTTTTTCTTTACATAGACACATTATTTATATTTATTTATTATTTTATACTGTCCCCTTTTAAATGTATTTGAGATTGATTATGGATTCTGAATTTTTGAATTATTGCTTCTACATTATTAAATATTTCATTCTACCTATTATCATTCTCATAGAGGAAAAAAACCTGAATGGTTCACCGTCACTGGCAGAATAAAAACACTTTTCACTCCCACTACTGTAGCGGGATACTGGACACTCTGAAAGGACTCACCCACCATACACTTCATCTTGGATAAATTACAATGAAACACAATTGCAATGCATTGTTGGACACAAAGAAATAAAGGAAATCTCCAAGTAAGAAGGTCAGGGTAGAGGGAGGAGGATGGGGAGGGGGAGGGAGGGAAGAGCTGAGACCAGAGCAGGGAACAGTAACCATTAGCACACACAAAAGCCAAGCTGCTGTCTGGGTGAAGAATAACATGAGCACTGCGATCTGGAATCTAAACTCTGACCCCTTTAAAAGTAGAGAAACTACAAAAATAAAAATAAAAAAAAAATTAAGGGGCGCCTGGGTGGCGCAGTCGGTTAAGCCTCCGACTTCAGCCAGGTCACGATCTCGCGGTCCGTGAGTTCAAGCCCCGCATCAGGCTCTGGGCTGATGACTCAGAGCCTGGAGCCTGTTTCCGATTCTGTGTCTCCCTCTCTCTCTGCACCTCCCCCGTTCATGCTCTGTCTCTCTCTGTCCCAAAAATAAAAATTAAAAAAAAAAAACGTTGAAAAAGTAGAGAAACTGAACCTAGGGCTTTGGCATTAAGCTGGGACCACTGAGTGACCCTAAATTTGCCTGAGGTTGGTAGCACCCCATGGCTCCCAACAAGAGCAAACAGAAATCCTCTCCAGAGAAAATCACTTGCAGAATATTTTTCATCCCACCACTACAGCCAGCTATTAGATACCTTGAAGGAACACTTGCCACCATACAACTCGATCGTGGTAAGATGTAAGAAATAAAAAACTATAATGAATTATTGGCCTCGCAAAGAAATACAGGAAATTCCCAAGGCGAGGCGGGTAGGGAAGAAAGAAAATGAAGGGGGAGAAGGAAGGGAGACAGGAAAAGAAGATCCCACAGAATAAATTCCTTAAAACCAAAAGAAACAGCCACTATAAATAAGAGTCAAGAAAAACAACCCAAGTAGATTGAACCCCTTCAGATTTCAGGTACAGGAATTTTCAGACGTACAATGCCACGGAACACTGTATGAAATATATAAAGAAACAGAAGACAAATGAAAAAGAAGGAAGCAGCAAATAATTGTTGAAAATTATACTCTGAAGTGGAACCGTTAATTGTCACAGTCGAAAATGTAACATGGACAGGTAGAAGAAAAAGAGCAGGTTAGATCTGGAGAGGAAGTTAAGCTTGAAGAGAGCTCTAAAGAACTAGAGAGAGCAGTAGAAACAAAGAGAAAGAAAATATGAGAGGAAAGTGGTCTAAGGGTTAAATGTCTCTTTACATATGATCTGCGGCCCATCTGTACTCACATGAAAATATTGTCTAAGAACTCCATGACTGAAATGGCTAAGTACTGATGATAATTTACATAATTTGGGAGGCATATATAAAGAACCTAACACAAAACTCTCACAAGATCTGACCAGAAAACTGGAATGAATTCTTAGCAGAAATGTGCTTTGAATCAAGTAAAGTTGAAATGTTTCTTTTTATGTTTACACTTTTAAGGACCAATACAACTGAGTCCACCCAGATAATCCAGAATAATCTCATCTCAAGGTGAGCTGATTAGCAACCTTAAGTCCCTTTTCCCAGGTAAAATAACAGATCCCAGGGATTAGGACATTTTGCGGGGCATTATGCCTACCAGAGATGTCTACCAACTAGGGTCATTCTGTTTTTGTATCATGGATGATTTTATTAATTCAAGAGGTCATGCTAACCATTGCCAGAGGCATTAACAGCACCCATATCAGACTAGAAGCTTTTAGGAAAAAAGATAAAATCTGTTTTTTAATGCTGTTTTCTAAAAGAAGGATTGAAAAATTAAAGCATTGCTGACATGCAATTAAGCCACTCAGCCTGAAGTAAATAAGGAACTCTCCAGAAGAGTTCAAACATGCTATTCAAGGAAATGTTCAATGTATTTCCACTTCTAAATGGGGGAACAGCGGCACCAAGAGCACCAAGCAGCTGAGAGACAAATCCGCAAATAGTTAAATTACTGACTAGGGAGGACACTTCCCACATTTATTACAGAAATTTTGTACTTAATTTACAGATGTTACAGAGCACTGTGTATGGAAATCTACAGAACATTTTCTGACATAAACAGTTTTGCATGCACTTCTTTTCTAACGATAATATAGCTTCTCGTAATTTAATGAATGTACTAATGGAATTGGCAATGCTTGAAAGAATAGGAACTTATCTCAAAGATAAAAAGTGTCACTAAATTATATTCAGAAATTTAAAATGTACTTTAGTTTTGAGATTTATTATAACTTCTAAGGAGGAAAACACTGGAAAACAAATAGGTTTCAGTTCCAAGAGCATAAACATCTGATTCATTAATACTGAAGGGGATTTTCATATTTGTACTTTTCTTTTAAAAAATTATAATATACAGATTTTAAAATATAAGAACCATATCTGCTACATATTAAATTCTAACAATTAAAAAAACCGTAAATTTGATGATAAAAAACCTCTACAGTAAAAAAAATATTTATATCCTAAGTAGTATCAGTTTGGTCATAATGACTACCTCACAAGTTATCTTCTGTCTGGTCTATTACCTGCAGAGGACATATTAATCAAAGAGAGAAGTGTTTCAGTTATGCAAAATAAGTAAGCCCTAGAGATCTGTTGCACAGCACAATGCCTACAATTAACAGTAGTGTATTGTATTCTTAAAAATTTGCTAAGAGGGTGCCTGGCTGGCTCAGTCAGTTAAGCATCTGACTTAGCCTCAGATCATGATCTCATGGTTTTTGGGTTCGAGCCCCGCATCGGGCTCTGTGCAGACAGCTCAGAGCCTGGAGCCTGCTTCGGAGTCGGTGTGTGTCTCTCTCTCTTCTCTTCCTCTACTTGTGCTTGCACTCTTTCTTCTCAAAAATAAATAAACATTAAAAAAAATTTAATTTGCTAAGAGAGTAGTTCTTACATTATATGTTCTTACATTTAAAAAAAATAACAACAAATAAACAAGACAAAATAACAAGAACAAAATAACAAGAGGGCAGGAGGAAACTTTTGGAGATGATGAACAGGCTCATGGAATAAATTAGGGTTATGATTTCACAGATGTATACTTATCCCCAAACTCTTCAAATCGTATACATGAAATATATACTTTTATACATTAAGTATATATACCTTTTATATCTCAAAAAAGTTATAATTCTTGACTTGAGATTAAAAAAAAAAAACTTTCAGTACTACACTAAGAGGTCATGAAAACAATCAAGTAAATATGATATCCAAAGTCAGAACCAGACAATAAAGATTAGGTAAATCAATCTTTTTTTTAATTTTTTTTTTTAAATTTTTTTTTTTCAACGTTTA